CACGAAGTTGTTCATATTACCGCGAAGACCTTTGTAAAGGAACCTGAACAGTTTACTATTCACTAGTTATTGGTATATAGTTGGTCAGGACCACTAACCGTCGGCATTGCTTGGCGTTCTTGTCGTAGTACCATCTCGCGACAAGCTCATTGCCTTCGCCGGTATCACGACGCATCTCACAGCGATCTTCTGGAAAAGGACCTCATTAGCAAGTCTGTGGGCGTGGCCTGCTTATTCTTCGCTTCCTGATGGCTGCTCAGGAGAATAAAGCCTGTCTGCTAGAGCAACGAATGTCTCATAACTTTAGCTGGGAAGGAAATTTCAGACGCTCGTCCTTAAAAACTTGCTTAAACCCCTTGTGGTAAACACTTCTTAAGACACGGTTCTCGTTAAGGAACGTACACAGATAGCGGTGCTGAGTACGTCGGAAACGCCACTTATAGGACCCCTATAGCCTCTAACAATTGTGTGGGTAAAAGGCCAGAAGACCGCGTGCTGGGAGGAATCCAGCCGACTGAGTCCTCGTAATGAACCCTATGATTCCACAAGACGCATTGTAGTGTTTGATACTAATAGTTCGGTAGCACCTTTTGGATAGAAGGCGGGCTTGGTCTGTCGGCGGGGTCACTGAAGAAAGGGAAGTGCTACTGGGGCAACATTGCGCCTTAACACCTTTACCTTAAGCTTTCCGCCGAGGAAATGCTACAAGGTTGTCCATTACGGACAGTGCTAATTTCTCAAACTACCTTTTATGTTTTCATGGGTTATCGCGGAGCGCTCCTTTAAGTTACCAGAAAGCTAATCAAAGATGATTGGACAACAGAAAGCTGGCTCAAGTGATAGAGCAACCGACGCCTGACTGGCTGGTTCATCCGATAGCCCACTCTGCAAAAGGTTATGTGACCTACCCGTGTCGGTTCGTGGGCAGCATGACGTTGTGGAGAAGGATGCCCCAGTATGGCACCAATAGTCCTCTGGACAGCCACCATTTGGCTGATTCAAATAGTTGCAAGTGACAGGAGTTTCATATTCGTTCATCAGTGGACGTCCAGATGGACATGGGTTGAAGAATTCTGAAAAAGACACTTCGTCAAAAAAGATCTTGGCGCAGTTCGGCTATACGAGGGGGTGGGGTGGAAAAGGGTGAAGGGAGCATTTTGCAATTTCGCTGCTTCCTGTTGTCGTGTCGAGCCATCAAATAGAGATTTATGAAATCTTGTGAAGCCATGAAGTGAAAACAGTCAAAGCTTGTAGAAACTACTTGTCATTCTTGTGAAGAGTACCTGTCAACTCATATAAAACAATGAAAACAACAATGGAAAGCGGCAAAAGTGCGAGAAGCCGCCTACTCCCCCCCCCCTGCTTCTCCCCAGTCGAAATGCGCTAAACGTGTTTCAACGTATTTATGAGACAAAGGTAAACTAACTTGTTCTATTCGTTTGCTTCCGTTCAGGACGAAGGAATCGTGTGGTGGATGAGATTTCTGGCGTCACAGATTCAGGAGGAGGAGTCGGCAGCTCCGTTGTTGGAGCAATGACCTCGGGTGGAGGTGTTGGCAGAGAGGCATGAAAATGTGTTTTCAGTTCGCAGTCAGCTCAGTTTACTTCAAGTTGATACTTGTAAATCTGAACATACCGTTGTAAAGGTGAACGACCTTGGGAATACTGTCGTGGTGAGATATGGCGGTAATGGTGGAACTACTCGCGGCACAGAAGGAATCACACCCACTTGAGGTCGAGATAGCCCTGAAGAACGATTCTGCTTCAATTCTTTAATAATTATTTTGAATTGAAGGGAATGAATTTTGGTAAGATGGGAAACTCGGGGAATGTAAGGAGATTACAAGGTTCAAAAAATAATTTTGCGAACTTATTTTCTCCTAGACATATATTAATATAGGTCCTTATCAACCTTTTGGCGTTGGAATGTCCATATATCTTTAGTATCATTGCAGGTACGGCCTGAAGAGTGGCGGTCCCAAGTGTCTAAGTACTCTCGTCGTCTCGTCCCTCGTTCACGCGCTCAATGTTTCTTCACAACATGCTCACGCATTGCTCAAAGGTCTAACTGGTAAGCATCGCTGCAAGAGCATCACCATTGGGTCGTAATCAGTCCAAAGGGCCGCAAGGAATTTTTTCCACGTGCTGGCTTCTCCCACCCCGCTAGACAACAGCTTCTTGGGAAGAAGTTGAAAATTTCTGGGAACCCGTGAAAAAGCGGCATGAAGCTGGGAAAGCCTAGGAGGATCGTAGGTAGGGTAGGGTTACCAGGTAAGGAAATTTGAGGAGGGAGGGGTCTTACTGACACTACCATTCCACGCATCACGAAATTGTACCATGCTTGTCACACCTTTGCAATCTATATTCAACACTTTACTCCGGAGATACGCATTTAGTCTTCATTCGTGCAACCCAGAGGGCGGGTGAGGGAGAGAGGATAGGAGCGCAGCCAGTGCGGTCTTTTCCACCAATTGATGCCACCCTGAGCCGGCAACAAATGGTGAAAAATGCTACGTTAGCTGTGTTCCAAGCTACGTCCCTTCACACGCTCTCTCGTTTGTAGAGATAATTACTGCATTTAGCAAGTTAGTCGCTTTTCTCACCTGTAGGTCGATAATTCCATCGGTAGCGGTTCTGATTACACCATACATACTGACAATTAGTCCTTACAGGATACATCATAGCACGTGCAGGCTGTACAATAGGTTGTTGATAGAACTGAATAGCTTTTTTTTGATACTGGTATCATACTTGTTACTATTATAACAAATCATCTAGTGTATCGAAGTGGGTCTTTTAGTGAACATCACATTCATTCGGATGCGGTCCAACTAGTAAGTATAGTGTAGTGCAGACGGTTGGGCGTGTCAAGCGAGCAGCTTTGACGGGGCGACACACTCATACTGCCTGACACGCCCAACCAACCGCAGCGAACTGGGGTGTATATCATGAAAAACTCGTATCGATTACGTCACGGGCCTAAGCGCACTTTGAGTAGCCGCACAACCAAAGCGCATGCAGCACAACACATTGGTGCAGTCTTGCTCGCTGCACCCTCAAGGCGTTCCAGAGGGACTAGGTGGCCCGACGCCAGCCAGTTTTCTGCCCATTGCGGTTCAGGGGCCATGGATACTTCCAGCACATTAACCGTAAAAGAAAAAAAGCGACATTATGATCAAGAAACTGTTTATTTACTAACCTGGCATTCTGTCAAGTGTACAAGTAATGGAAGTATTAGGATTTTCATTGTGGTCTCTAAAAATGAACATGAGCATACGCACTCACCGGTGAAAGGCTTGAAGTGACACGAAAGAACGTACAACTGCACGGCTGTGAAGCATACAAATGTATAGGTTGGAAAGAAAGTCCTGTCACTGTTGTGATTTTTTTTTTTTATTTTCTAACTCAACATGAAATAAAAACTAATCAATAATATAATCGCCATTGTTAGCCACTACAGTGCTCCACCTAATGGGCAACTAGCTACCCCTTCTCCCAGAACTGAGGAGGCTGCGAGTCGAAGAAGTAGGCAACTTCTCGATTGATGCCATCAAATTCGCTGAAGGTTTTCTTACCTAGGAAAGCCTTGAGGGAGCGGAACAAGTAGTAGGAGGGGGCTAGGTCTGGAGAATATGGTGGATGGGGAACGGTCTCCCAGCCTAGCTCCTCAATTTGGCGGTGGGTCTCTTTAGCCACATGTGGTCTGGCGTTATCATGGAGGAGGTGCACCGAAGCTCGTCTCGGCCGCTTTTCTCGAAGAGCTTGCGCGAGTTTCTGGAGTTGGGCGGCGTAAACGGTAGCGGTAACCGTATGCCCTTGCGGAAGCAGCTCGTGGTGCAGCATGCCCTTCGAATCCCAGAAGCAGCAGAGGAGGACCTTCTTGGAGTGCAGGTTCGATCTGGGTTGCGTAGGCGGGTCTTCTCCTCGAGGGAGCCACATGGCACGACGTAGGTTGGAATCATAGAGGACCCAGCTTTCATCTCCAGTCACAATATCTTCCAGAAACTCCTTCCGGTTACGGTGTAGAAGGAGGGATCGACAGATGCTCACCCTGGCATACCGCGTGCCATCTGTTAGAGCATGAGGTATCCATCGCGTGAGGACTTTTCTGTAGCCAAGGGCCTGAAGGCGGCTTAGAGCTGTTGTATGGCTACACCCTAGCCTTGTCGCAATACTGCGCGTGGTAGCCTCTGGATCCTCTCTGACAGGTTCGAGAACGGCGGAATCTTCTACGCCGCGAGGGCGTCCCAGACGAGGTTTGTCTTCGAAGATCGTCTCTCCTTTCGCGAAGCGAGCGAACCAACGGTGGACAGTCCTGACGGTGGTGGTGTCCTCCCCCAATGCACAGTTGATGTTACGGGCCGCTGCCGTCGCTCCAGTGCCGCGGCGCCACTCATAGAAGATGATCACTCGAAGCTGCTCCAGTGAAACTGACATCATAAATAAACACAGGGAAGAGCAGGAGCCTTGATATACCTCTTGTGGAAAAGCTTCGAGAATGTTCTACAACCTTAGCATGTTACGTCATGTTCGAGCTTCGAAGATCAAAAACTGTAGGCTATCTAAAAAACACTGACAGGACTTTCTTTCCAACCTATATATATGTATGAAACGAAAGAGATTCTGAATTATCTGAAAGTAAAAGATGCAAGGTTATAATGCGGGAAGTTTCTATCCTGATAAAACTAGTATGGAAGGGCTTCTCAACTACATCTGCATCTTTTGTCCTGCAGGGTTACATCCGGAGGTAGTCGTTTCAATTCGCTTCACTGCCTGCCTCGACGACAAGTTTTTGTCTTCGTGGTAAAGTTGAACTCCTGCCACGTTTGTGGCACAGCCTTCTTCTGAAATGGCGTCCGGAGCTTTCACGCTCGTTGGTCCGTCAGGAAATTCCCTTGTGACGCCTCTAAAGGGATGTCGCATTAGGCATCACATTCTTCTACTCAT